TTAACATATCCAAAAACATCTAAAATATTCCAATTTATTTTTATTTTTCTTATTAAATCAGATTATTTTTTGACCTTTTCTTTAACTATAACCTACTCATTGCACTATTATTTACAAAAGAATATAGATGTTTAATGTGTAGATGCCTGTGAGCGTCTGCAGACGAAGACGAGTATGTTTGCTAAAGCTAAATATCTGTGTGGATTATCCCTGCGGGATAGCATATTTCTAAGCAAAAATAGTGAACGATTATTTGATTTTAGAACTGTATTTTTTTAGAAACAAGAAAAAGATCGTTATAAATGAATAAGCTATGAACTTTTCCTACATTGAGAAAAAGATATTAAAAAATTTATTTGTCAGAAATATTTTTATTTCACTGAAATCAATTTTTATGATACGGCGAAATAAAATAAAATTTTATTTCTAGCAAATAAGCTATCTATTTTATTTTTTTATAATTCATGAGGTATATTTCATAGAAATGTATATTTCGTCATCACAATCAAATTTTTTCATATAATTAAGAAATATCGGAGAAAACATCGTAAGTAATATCTGCTTCGCAATACTTAAACATTTTTCTCTCAGTACATACATCTCATGTAGAATGTAGATAATAAAGAATAACGTAATAAAAATTGAATGAAAACAAAATTAATATACGACTGACAATAGATAAAAATTAAAAATCGTGTTATTATCCTAAAGTAATCATGTTAGGATAGGGAAGACGATCGGGGAGTCATTATCCGCACCTCTGATAACGACGTTGCAAGATCTTCTTTTCGAGTCGGGGACCGGAAAAGGTACGGAGAAAAAGAACGAACGGACGACCTCGTTTCTCTTTGCCATCCTTCCTCATCATATACCGGAATGAAATTGCCCGCGGAAGGCCGGCGGAAGGCCGACCCGTAGACTTTCTGAGGTTAACCGTGCCGCCTGTTAATGGTCAGAGCCACGAAAGCCGGCCGTATTTTAAAGTCGCCAGTAGTCGGCAACGAACTCTTTTGCGGCGTCGATTAACTCCAGCGAAAGCGCCGAAACGAAGACACGGGAACAAGAGAAAAAAGGAAGTAGTTCCGCTTTTACACGTTTTTTAAGAGATCCAGAAGGTTGGATAATTGAGGGATCTCTCCACATTCACATGAATTTATTGTGCCACCGTGAAATAACTTTAGACAAGAATACAGAACTTTATAAATATGTAATCACAGTTTTATGAGAAAACGATATGAATCTGTGCATCGATACAGAAAATCTACACAAGAGTTGTTATCGCGATCTATCGAGTTGTCATTTCATTTCACTCATCATTTTTCTACTAGTTCAAAATTGATTTTCTTTCTTCTTTCAAGCCTCTTTTAATTCAGGAAACTGCGTCCTCGTAAATATAGACTTTGAAAATTCTTACGGGCGAGCTCCACCACCAAAAGAAACTAGACAAATAGATTTGGGTTGGAAGTTGGAACCTCGTCACGTGGAAAATTGTAAACCCAACAACATTCAGTCATTTTTTGTAAAAATAATTACCGATACCTAAGGAATATCAAAAAGTGGGCATTTTTTATACACCTATCTTGCATATATTATCTGTAAAAACGATCAATTTTCGAGGATATACTAATTCTATATCCATTCGCTCTCAGCCTGTGGATTCCTGCGGCGCAAGAGGAAGTTCACTGAAGAAACGCGGCGATAAAAATACGTCGATAATACGATATTTTATCATTATGGACATGGACGAGTCGAACAAAGTCGCGGACCTCCCGCATCGAAAGCGCCGAATGATCTCTCGAGAGCGGCTCCCGGTTATTGAATGTCGAACGCGAAGGAGCGAACGATCGATCGCGTGACGAGGCGAAAAAGAATCGAGCGCGCGCGCTCGCGCTATCTAGATGAAGTTCATTAGAACGCGCGCTCTGAACCCGAACACGTTAAAGTCGTTTGCGTTACCAGCACTAGTCCCTCCATCAAGCGTGAGCAAAGCCCGGGAAAAGGTCTGCTCCAGTTACGAAAAAAAATGGATTAATTATCATGGAGTCAAGTACCGTTTAGTACTAACGCTGCATGATCATTATCACTGTTACAGAAAGCTCCATAAAGTAACAGTCATTAAATTAGCTTTCGTTTTCTATTAACAATTTTGCACAATTTATATATTCATATATTTATATATTTCGTATATTATTTATATAATTTATTAAAAATATTTATATAATTAAAAAAAAATTTATCATTTTTAGAAACAGGCATTATACTGTTGAGTATTATTACGTATTTACTGCATACTTTTAATACTGTAAACTGATGGGGAAATAAGACAAATAAAAAAAACTTCCTACTTTGTATCATGTTATAATATTCGTAATCTTTTTTGTTAATAGTTAATCCTATTAATTCTATTAAATATCAGTTAATTTTATTAGTATATTGTTGCCATCGCTATTATTATTGTTATCAAAATAAATAATACTGTCAATGTTATGTTCCACTAATCATAATATCATTTTTCGTTATTAGCAATATATGCATTAAAATCGCCAAACTTTGGCGTATTTGTGCAAAATGAGTTGTATGGGTATCATACTTTAGAATGCGAATAATGTTATGTTTACACTGCTATTACGTAATATAAATCTGTAAATATACTCGTGATATACGATACGTAACGAACTGGATACAAGTGAATTACAGTAAATCACTCACCAGGTCGTCTCATTAAACATAATATCATTATCGAGGCGCTGAATTACGCAGGAAAATAACGCGCAAAAGTAGATGCTGTGCATCGTGAGTAACGTTATACTTTTCGTAAATCATATACTTACGCAGTCAGTACTGCCTGACGGGCAGTACTGACGTCACCGCTTATGGTACAAACGCGTAACATAACGTTAAATCATACAGCGGATTACATGTCGAGGTGACACGTAAGGTGACCTACGTTTCAATAAAATCACAAGATAACAAGATATGTATGGCATATCCTGTTCATTTTTTAATACGTCGACCTGTTCCATTACCATAAAACTTTGATCAATCGAAGCAGGAAATATCGAAAATTTATATCATCTCTCATCATGCGCATCTTATATGAAAGTTGATACAAATATCTTATTCTTCAATATCTCTTTATAATTTAAGAACGGTCGGAGTAAATATCACTACACAGATAACTCAAGAGATAAATTGCTTGCCGGAATTAACTGATGTCACTTGAATGAATGACGTATTAGCCAATTAATATGATAATCTCTGTATGTGATACTTTAATCTCTTTCTCAAAAGCTTATCTGATATAATTTTTTGTAACACATAAATTATAAGAAAATTTGTACTAGAATACATAAAAAATAATAATAAAAACAAACACCATTAAAAATATTTAACTTTGAATATTGAAATTATATCTAATGTTTTAATAATACATCATGTAATTATAAACAACGTGAAAGTTGATACGCGTAAAAATTATTGTTTAATATCAGACATGATGTGAATGTATGTGAAATAATTCATGGTTTTTTCGTTAGATTTATTTTAAATTGTATGTAATTATTACATGTTTTTAAGCTAAAAAAAATTGTAAAAATTATGTGCATTTCAAGACACACATTGCAAGAGATATCATTTGCTGGATATGATTCACGACAAGAAATAAGTAGAAGAGTGTATCTCACTCTGAGCACGAAAGGGTTAACCCTGAAGACTATAAAACACTTTACTTGCGTGAAGACAGGAAAAGGAATCTGACACAGTTTACATATATTACAATGATGAATTCGTATTTATCATGCTAGTAAAATGCTTGATAGTGAAGACCAAAAATGAAGCTGTATTCTTACTTTATAAGCAGATATTTTATAAACAGATAATCTTTTGTAAAAATTATATAAATAAAAATATTATGTGTCTTTGATTTTTATACATATGTTCAGTATCAGCGCGAAATTCGACGTAAAATGAATTTAACAAAATAAATTTAATATTTCAAAGCTAGCAATATTGTATCAAATTATATTGTTTAGAATTGATTCTTCCATTCAAGCACAGAAGTATTTAGATAATTAAGGACTCGGAATTGTTTTTAAATTTCTACGCTGAAAGAAAAGATTGGTTGCTGCAACAATTTAGATAGTAAAATATGGCATAGCATTTTTATATGGCTGCAAATTTTTAATTGCGTTAGCCTATCGAAATCATATGACATTGCGAATAGGCTAACGCAACTAAAAATTTGCTGCTACAACCAAAAACTGATTGCTGCAATCATATAAAAATGCTATGCCATATTTTACTATCTAAATTGTTGCAGCAACCAATCTTTTTTTTCAGTGTAATCGACGATTATCACGAGAAACAGAATTTGCTAGTAATAAACAATTGATAATTTTATAATTGCTGTAGAATATAATGATTTAATTTCATCATTAAAAAATTGTTGTATCGCTTTAACTTAACTGCCTTAATTAACTCAATTAAAGAGCTTGCGACAGTGGACTAACTCACCTATGGTAAATATGGAGTAATTAAACTCCAAAGTTAAAATGATTAGAAAAAAATCACGTGTTCGGCTACGTTGAAGGGCTAAGTCACGTAAATATGACATTAACTTTAATTGAATATGTGTAATTGAATTGAATATTTTTCCCCATTATTTTAACTTTCACTTACTCTATTTTTACAAAATATGGAGCTCACTATTCTAGCGAATCCTTGACTTAATTAAAACAACTGAATCGAATTAAAATGATGTATCAATTTTTAAATAACAATAGATCATTATTTTCTATAACAATAGTTTATTACGAACAAATACATTGATGTAGTACTCCGTAAAACAACGAAAAATATTATTCGTAACTGTCAGTTCTCACTGTCAGCTGATTGCGAGTACTTACACAGCTATAAACTCGGAGCGTGTGCGAAGTAGATAGTCCCTTAAATCGTTAGACGAAGAAAGAGAGAGAAGCGTAAGAAACATCTTGAAAACTTACCTAGACCACACCGCAAAATCGGCGAGCGATCCTCTCCTCGGCACCGCGGCGAGCCTTCAAGGGTGCCGATTATAGGCGCAGGGGTCGGGGGGACAAAGTCAGCTCTGCACGCCCCCCCGACGTCACTCTGGACTCGGGAACCCCTGTTCTCGACACGTTCCTCGTGTTCCAAGCGGCGAATACACACTCACATACGGCCGGCGGGCTTGCTATTATATCGTTATTCCGGGTCGCCTCGTGACTCCGATCGCGTCGCACACTCGCGACCGTCGGTTCCGGCGCGCCGTTCCTCTCTGTCTCTCTCTTTCTTCTTTTGTCTTTCTCTTTCTCTTCCCCTCGCAAACGCACTGTATACGTAGCAGAGCACTTGATCACCACGAGGAACCCGGCGGTGCCGCGAGGTCCAACATCACAACTCGGCGATTCTCGCTGCTCTTTTTCTCCAAACAATCCTGTCGTTCTCACCGATGACGGCGGTCCGACACGCACGCGCGTCGCACGCGTGTATGCGTGTACACCTGTGAGTGCGTATTCACTCTATCAGTTCGCCCATCTCACTCGCACTCACGAAACAGTCCTAAACCGCGCAGAATCATCGCGCGCGATTCCTCTCGGCTGCTCGGCCTCTCGTCCCTTTTACATACGCCGTAGGGGGCGGGTTTCCTCGGTGGACGGGGACGGGCGATCGCTGATTTCCGGGTAATCCGCGGCCAGGTGCGTGGCGGAGGCAACGCACGGGAACAGATGTCGCCGCTTCGGCATCTAGAAAAGCATTCGAGAACGCGATCGATCAGACCGCGTCCGTCGTCTTTCGGCGCGAATCGCGAATCAGCATCACTCGCTTGCTGGCTGACCGGCCGGCCGGCTGGCCGACATGCGTGCGTGTCGCCGGTCGCGAAATCGCGGGGAGCCAGTATGGCGCCGGGCTTCTTTCGTACTCTCCCTCTCTCTCTCTCACGCACACTTCTTTCTCCCTCCGACACTAGCTTTCTCCTGTTTCTCTCGCCCCGACTGACTCGCTCATCGTTCGTTCATCGCATTCGCTCATTCAATTCTCTCCTTCTCGCCCGTTGATTCACCTTGTCTCCTTTCTACCACTTGTTCGCTCACTTTCTTCCCACTCTTTCTCTCTCTCTCTCTCTCTCTCTCTCTCTCTCTCTCTCTATCTCTGTTGTCCGTCACTCACGCATCCATCGTGCATGTCTGAACACCGTTCTTTCCATCTACTCTTTTTACTCTCCTTGTATCCTTTTACCCTCTTCCTTCACTCACGTCTGATACCACGAATTCGCCGAGTCGACAAGACGCGTACCGTCCATTTGAAAGCTGCATGTGTTTTCGCAAAATTAACGAGAGAAATCGAACCGCCCGTTTTCAACTCTCCGGTTACCGATATCGTTTCAAAAATTCGTCAATATCGTTAATATTCGTTATTATTTGCCGCGGGCAATGTACCACAACCGAAAAATCACACCGTAACGCTCGAGTCGAATCGCGAACCGAATGAAGTTAGCGGTAGGTGGGACGCGTAAACGTCCTTTGCGATAGTATGCGATTCACGAGAAGCGCGCGAATAGCACGTCGCGTTTGAAAGATTTACGGCTCGTCGTAGAGACTTTAGAAATCGGCCGCACTAACGATCAGCGATTACTCGAATTACTAGTGCACAAATTTTGAGATACACTCACTATCGCCGCGTGCTGCACGCAATGGCCTAGAAAACCCGCGTTCGCCAAGCATGCAACATCGTTCTAGACTAGTGTAGATCGAAAATGTTTCTCGATGAAACATTAAGAATTAATATCTCGTTTTGTTCTATCAAGGTTCTATCAAGAGGAACGTATTTATTAAATAGACACGAAGACAGGATCAGGTCTTTTCTCTCACAAAATTAATCCTCAATTATAGCTGTGAAAACGACACCTAAGTTCTAAAGCATCCTGTTTAAAGTACAAAATACAAGTCAATCTTCGCCTTACGTTGATTAATAGAGAAATATTTGAAGTTACTTCACCTACGATTTATAAAAACCTTGTAAAACGGTTTTTATAGTCCGTTCTTACTTTAAGACCATCTTAAGTAGTGTCTCAAGATATATTCGGCTCTCTGATTGATTCATAACATCTTAAGAATGTACTTCAGACAGTCTTAAATATAATGGGCTTTCTACAATATAAGCCATTAGTCATCACTCATATCAGATTAGTGATAAGGCAGAATTACAGTCATAAATCTTAGGAAACTTACATCCAGAATAAATAACATTAGATCATTACGTCACAATATTTCAGCCGCTAATCAGAAGGGTGGTAATTCTCAGGACAAATAATACATTATGTGATTAGTCAGTCATAACGTAATCTAAGTTTTAAATCGTAAACAATGGAATTTGGCCATCTCTCCCTGCAGTCAGTGATTACTAACTTATTGTCTCATGACACTGCTGACCTACTTACAACTTGCTCCTGCTTTCTGATCTATAACGGCTTATAATAGAAAGCCCATAAGAATCGATTATAAATATCGCCCGTAGTATCAATCGTACAGATTGTATAACATTCGTCCAAATTTTCACTTCGAATAACCCGTTGCTGTAGTCGAGGATTAAAAAGTACAACAGTCCAATCCAAGAAGAATCGCGATGGACACGTGATAATGAAGACCGAACTCAGTTCTTATTTCAAGATCATTTTAAGGAATGCCTCAAAATGCTAGTAAGTGCTTTTCATTTGATGACACAAATCGACATAAACGTCATTCTGTCTTTATTACTCACTAAACGTGAAGTAAAGAAAGATGGAACGAGGCTTGCGTCGACTTGTGTCGTGTCACTAAATCGAAAGCACCCAATATTTATTTGACTTACGAATGACTTACGATATCCTAAGGCTGTACTTAAGATTCTTAAATATACAAGAATCGATTACAAATACTGAAAGTACGTTCGCGCGATTTAGTGGCGCGTCGCGCTTCCTTGCGAGTTTCGGATTTTAGCGCGCGTTCCCTTAAGGAGGAGAGGGAGGGAGGGAGGGAAAAGAGGAGGAGAGGGGAGGGGAGGGGTAAGGTCGCAAGCACTCGCGAGTGCTGAAGGTACGGCGAGGGCGACACGGATCAGGCGGGACGTATCCGTTGCGACGCGTCGTCGGCACGCACCAGGCACCAGCCGGGGCCCCGACGTGCGTATCCGACACAGCCGTTCCTCGGCGCTAAAATGGCGATCGAAGTGACAGCTCTCGCTGCCGTCGTCTCTCCTCCTACACCTCCTACACTTCCTCCTCCTCCTCCTCCTCCTCTGCCACCTCATCGCCGGCGAGGCTCGGCTCGACGAGACCGACGAGACTTTGCGCGCCGCACGACCGGTAGAGGCGCGTCCTCTTCTTTTCCCCTCGGATAACAACCGGGACGGAGTACTTCTTTATCGCTTCTGAGAACGCTTCATTCTCCCTTTCTCTCGATTCGCAATTCCACGTTACGTTCTCTCCATCTCTCCCATTCACACATATTCTCTCTCTCTCTCTCTCTCTTCATTTCTTTCGTCCGCTCATTCGCTCGCGTTAACTTTCTCGCTCTTTCTGCCTTTTTCATTCTCCATTCATTTCGCTCTCTCAACATGCGGCGCGAGAGAGACGAGGGAGGCTGTTTACTCCTTTTCTTCGGGGCTGGGCTTTTACCGAGCGCGCGACGGTGACGCACCGCCTCGACGGCAGCAGCACGACGGTAACGAAGAGCACGAAGATGACAACGAAGATGGCAACAACAGCGACCGCGACTACGATGACGATGATGACGACGGCGGCGGCAGCGGTATTCGATGGCGGTTCTCTCTCTTTCGGAGGAATCTCTCTCTTTCTCTCTCTCTCTCTCTTTCTCCTCGGTCCCGGACGACGCCTAACACCACCACCTCCACCACTACCACCACCACCACCACCACGATGCCACCTACTCGATAGCAGTGCTTGCCCGGACTCACGGGACTCGACTGGGCTTCGCCAGGCCGCGATACGCCCCTCACCCCCGCCGCTTCCCCGTCGCACTTGCGCCGACCGGCTATCACTCCTGCCTACCTACCCCCGTCTCGCCCTATCCCCAGGTACTAGCCGTCCAGCGTGCCTCGATCCACCCCCAGCGCAGTTGTACTAACCGTACGACAAGCCATGAACCCCCGCGGAGCTCCCACGCCCGCAGGACGGCCAATCGCGCGACTTGCCGGTGCCAGGGATGTATCATGCGAAGAGGCCAAAAATGTTGCACACGATGTGTATCAGGGTATCCTCACAGCCAAGGCCAGCAGCGTCACGAGGGGAGGGAGAAAGTTGGTATAAATTACAGAGATCGAGCGATCCGGGAGATAATCCAGGGCGCATATTGTATACGTTTTTGTTTTTCTTCTTGGTACCATTAATCGTCGACCGTGCCTTACGTTATAAAAAGAATATGAAATTTAGAACATTTCATGTATACACGTTGTTTAAAAAGTATTCTTTAAAATTTTACACTTTGTTGATACAAAATATTGAATGTATACCGTACGATACCAATGTGAGTGTTAAATATATATAATATAGAAAATCTGTGAATTTTCCTTTTCTCTGTCACATTTCTTCTTGATTACATTTCTTCAAATATACGATGTTATTTTCCATGCACACACATTTAATTAGTACCAGGTAAAAAATTTTATACAAGAACATATAAATATGTATAATTATAAATACATATGTTCATATTTCCTACTTTCTTTTATAAAATTACTGTTTCATACGAGAAACATAATATTAATATTAAGAAAACGAAAAATAATTAAAAGAATATTTTTTGCATTGTTTCTTTTACAAAAATCAAGTTTGAAAAAATGAAAAAAAATTGTTCATATAATATTGTATCTAAATAAATAATAAAGCTCGTGACTTTCAACTATATTTTAATAACGAGAAAAAATTAAAATTCTTTTAATATAATTTGTACATTTATTTATATTGAAGTTCAGCTTAGGAAGAGAACATCTTGTTATTTCATAATACTAGTATATAAAAATTCTCAATTTATCTTTAATCCTAATGGGTCAATGTTTAAATTTACTATATATGATCATCATTTAGATCTACATACAATATATATGATTAAAAGCTCTAAAAAATTAAAAACAAATTTTTACAGAAAAAAGATCTCAAATGATAACAGATAAAGTCATTAAATATTAGAAAAAAAATAAAACGCTAGTAAGAAAATTAGTTACATTTTAGATCATATAGTCTCAAACAAACCAGCAGGATTAAGTATTGATGCGGTAGTGGCGGAACACCCGGTATAAACCTCACGATAAATGACTGCACGCGCGAGACGACACGCGTTAAGTCGCAATGACAAGAACGTGAATGAAGCGGGAGGGGAGATAGAGCGCGTATGCAAATGCACGTATTGCTCACTGTTCGACCTCTTACGCGAATAAGATACGTAAAGGAAAGAAAGATGGGAAACGGAGGGAAGGGAATAATTCGCAGGGAGGGAATCGCGTTGATCGTTTCGCGAAGGTATTCCCTTACGCGGGGTCAATCGCGCACGAATTTTTTCGCGTCCCTTTGAAGTCAGCCGCTCAAACTCGAGAGTTACTAACCGAGCCGCGAATGTCGACCGCAAAACAGGCCCCACCTTACGTTGCCGACTTCACACCTTAGGCATACCATGCCTCCTTTTAAGCGATTAAACATGGGAGAGCTTACATTTGCAAAAGTTAAACACCGTTGAACTCAATTTTCGTGTCTTTCAGTTCCTAGACATTTCCTAGACACGATGACAGTTGGATGTGAGAATATTTATGTATACGAGAAACGAAACATTCTAACGTATTTCCTGTATTCTTCCGTGGGATATCTTGAGTATATCATAAAAATTTTTAAGCAGTTAAAAAAAATTAGTTTTGATAAAATTTATTTTTAGACGACTGTAAGACCAGTATTTCTAATTGATTCTTCAAGTCCGTCTTAGATATAGTTTCAAGATGTCATAAACCAATTGCAGATCTATATATGTATATAGCGTCTTATTAAGACATCTTGTAATAAAAAACGGACTATATGAATATACGTGTCTAAATCTCCTAATTATATAAATTAGAATATTTCGAGCTTTGAAAAAAATCTTCGATATACATATAACAAACAAATTAAATTAAATTTAAATAAAATATACAGTAGGTCTATGCACTTAGAAAGTACGCATATAAAAAGCATGTTCTTGCCAACAGCAAATGCAAGCAATAATCGAAACAAACGGATATGTGACTTGAAAGTTGCATTGGACAGTAGAGAGTTAAAAATGATCGGTGCTAACCGATCGGTGTTTCAGTTAAAGTGAATTAGCGCCAGCCCTTGTTTGATCTGAACTTCATTTAGTAGACAGCTTCACAGTTTGCCCGGGAGCGTGCGGCCGAACGGCGCTTAAAACAACGCAAGTATCGGATTATGTTCGTTAGGTCCCGGGCCGATGGCGGTGTCACTTTCGTTATTTATGCACGCGTAACGTACCAGCGTACGGCGGCGTTAGGTTTAATTTAATTTCCGCCGTTGATCTCGGAACGCTCGGCCGTGCCGCGCCGCGCCGCGCCGCGCCGCGCAAAATACCAGAGCAAGCCGCTCGTAATTGAATCCGTAACGGCGAGCAAATCAGCACGACGGTCATTACGTTACACGAGCCGCGCACTCGGCGAGGCGATCGACGTTCGTTAACCAATCGTTCGCTTAATTGCCGAGGGCAGGCGCGATAGACCTCGGTCAAGCCGCAGCTTTGTATTTAAAGCGTGTTTAAATAAATATACCGACCGGACCCGGACTGGTAGCGACAATCTAATGGACCATCGTACCAAACCTCCATCATCGTTGCCACTTTTCCGATAGGTTTGTTTTGGAGATAAGAAGAGAAACCGTACCTGTTAATTGTAATTTTCCACTCAGCAATATAACTGTACGTATACCCTGACGAAAATGAGAAGTTTCGTAAATGTTTGTTTAACGTTTACATGAGTGTTTGCAGGAATTTGTTGAGGAATTTAGAAACGGCCAATAGAGTGTTCGTAGAACGGAAATTGCAACGCTGCAGCGTTTGGAAGGCATTCTCTGACGAAAATAACAAGTTTCATGAACGTTCAGTTCAAATGTTGACCCTGCTGAACGCAGACATTTTATGAAAACAAAAGGTACAAAATTTTTCATTGAAAAATCTCATCATATCGCGCCTTTTACCCTATTCGATGTGGTTTTTTAAATGCGAGAACTTGAATTTTATTGTGTCCCTCTAATGGCGATATTGTACACTGCACTCTAAATTTCTTGCAGTGAAATCTCACTTCAAGAGAATGAAAATGCAACCACCCTTGAAAAAAAGTGAAAATATTTCACTTCTTGAAAAAAAAAGTGACGATCTTCACTCTTTTTAGAGTGAAATCTTGCTTTTTTGGAATGAGATTTCACTTTTTTGAAATTAAAATTCACTCTAAAAAGAATGAAGATCGTCACTTTTTTTTCAAGAAGTGAAATATTTTCACTTTTTTTCAAGGGTGGTTGCATTTTCACTTTCTTGGAGTGAGATTTTACTGTAGGAAATTTAGAGTGTGCTTGAAAATTGAATACGTAGAAGAATGTTTGCTAAACGGAGGAAAAACGCTTGTGTTATGGTGTTGAGGAAAACGTTTTTTAGGCGTCTTTAAGCTGTTTGTGTAAAAGCCTTCAAAACGTTTACTGAGATTCAATAATTCGCCACATTAGAACAGCGTTTGTTAAACGAGAGAAAAATGCTTGTCTCACGGTATTGAGAAAAGCGTTTGCTAAATGTTTGAAAAGTCCGACAGTGAACTCTCTGCACCAAAGTGCATCAGCATTTACTGAGCATCCTTTAAAAAGCGTTGCTTTAGCATTACAGAACTTTCATGAAACGATATATACTATATTTTATAAGCGTTCTGAAAGTGTTTAAAACCCAATGGTGTTCTGTCAGCGTTGTTATAAAGTTTGAAAACACATATAAACTCTTAAAAAATCATCATCGAACGGTTGTCAACGTTTTATAAAGTTCTGTATTTTCGCCAGGATATAACTGTAATATAACATACGTATGTTGTTATATTGTTGAGTGGAAAATTACACTAGCGAGTACGTTACTTAATGTAGCTTAATGTAGCTTTCTTTGACAAATGAAAACCTGCTCGGATGAACTCATCAATTAACGGGACGGCCGCGACAACTTGAATCCACTGTATAGTGATCTTTGACAATTACTCGTGTCATCTCGATATACATTTACTAGATATACATTAATATTGTTAATTTTGTATGTTATGTTTTTGTTATGATATGATTGATTTGTGAGTTAATGCTTTGTGTAGTGTGCAAAACTATTATGCTTCGCAATTTCTGTTAATTCAAGTTTACCTGTTGCAATGTAACTATTAGCAGGCTTGTAACAACAGTTTTGTTGATGCTTGCCATTTGCTTTGTATATGTATATGCCTACATTGCAATAAAGAATTATGAATTATTAATAGGCGGGTAGCGGTGTTGATCTGTAATTTGGCTGACCATCACGATAATTAGCTTTTACTTGACTCGCTTTAACAATTCAAACACAGCCTGTCAAGTGTATCGCGTGCGTTTTCGTGATTCCCGGCTACAAGAACGATCGTAAAGCTAGTCACACACACTTTCCGTAACAGTAAAGGCCGCAGCACACACTCTTGCATAATGCATAGTGCATAAAAGAATCAACCAATAAAAATTCTTTTTTTCTATGGAATGGGAGGAAAGGAAAGATTCTGATTAGTTGATTCGCTTATGCACTATGCGTTATGCGTTATGCAAAAGTGTGTGCTGTGGCCTTATAGCCTCGTCTACAATAGTCGCACAAGCTGTGTCGCATGTCGTATGAAATGTCGCAAAAGTGTCGCATATAGTCGCATGATCGTCGTAGTCGCAAGA